ACAATAATTTGTGTTTTGTATAAAGAAAAGGGCTTAGGGTTTCCGCATAAAATGATTTGACATTATGTTCTATATCAAAATTACCGTAAACTGTAAGAGAAAAATTCAAAAGCTTTACTACATTGCTGTTATTTGCTCGAAGAGTGTAAGTTCCCTGGTCTTCTAACTGAACAAAATCGATCATTAAGTTGCTTTCTGGATACTTCGGATATTGTTTTGTATATTTAGGCATTCTGAACTTAGTACCCAAAACAATCTCAGTACCGTTGGGTGTGAACCTGAATAATTTTATACTTTATACTACGGATCATCGTAAATTATAGGTTTTTGGCATGAATGTATAGTTTTATGCAAATGCAATCATTACCACGTAAGAGTTGGCGGTGGATAAGCATCAATAAAAGCTGTAAGTATCACTAAATCATCAACTCTGTGAGTCTTGTTTCCATTCCTAGCTTTTAAGTTTATGAAAGAGATATTTGGATCTGTAAAAATATACAAGTCTTAAAATGCAAGTTTTTGTCAGTACATTAACGTTGTTTTATAATTTTAAAAACTGACCGTATACTTTTATAAACATGTTTGTACTACGATATTCATTAAACGAAGATCTCACTTGACAAGTGTAATTACCCTCGTCGTTATAAGTAATATTATTTATGACAAGTTTAGATGTTATTAAATCAACGTTCATGTTTTCTGTCTCTTGAATCTGATTCAAAGTTAATCTGGAAGTCTATTCATGTACTCATTAAATAATGTTTAAAAATATTCTAGTGTTGCATAATATTTGCTACATCAGTCACTGTATATTAGTCATTATACCAAAAACGAAATTTTTCACGACGAAATCAATTGAAGCGCCAACAATAAAAATTTAGTTATTCAAAAAACTTTACGAATAATAGAGCAAAGTTCCCTACTAAACAAAAATTTATCCTAAAAAGCATTCATTATTATTTAAAATGAAGAAGCGTTAAAATTAGCTGTATAGTCTTGTTTCCCCCCCCCTCCAAAATGTTTACTTTTGACGACACCTAAAAGTAACATACGGCTTAAATAATTATTTCTACGTCATTTACAAATTTTGTTAAATTTCATGTAAGAAAAATACCATGGTAGATGCACACAATTGTATTTCGCATTAAAAATCAACCATATTTGATTATGTCGAGACGAAATGTATTGCATCTAGATTTTTTCGAACTTTTCTTTGACTACGGATCAATTCTACATATTTTCTACGTACTTAATATGAGTATTAAAGTAAAAGCAATATTAATATTGTACACCGGAGTTTTTGTTGCACCTAACCCCATCCGTAATATTGATATTAAAAAACTTTTATTCAGCAGGGCTCAAACATTGATGATTTATTTCGATAACCAGCATAACGAAAAAAATATTCGAAAAATACTGCTTTTTAGTCTTTCTCCATTTTCACTTATAAGATACGCTCGTTTTTGTTAAATGACCCATACACAACAAAAGGAATTGTGCATAAGAAAATAAAAATTCTCTTACTAAATTTTGAGGAGTCTTCCAGGTAACAATGTTAGAACTTTCTACGTAGTTTTTAACTGTACACGTAAGGGTCAATGTAGAGCCTACAAAAACTTTCTTCTGTCCTTCTATTTTCACAACTTTTTCACTTATGCAATCGCGAAAATAGGTATAATGAAATATCATCGTCTTGTCCGTAAAATCACCATCATTGGCTTCACAGAAAAATTCTTTTTTAGGGCTATAGAAACTTAAATTTTTAAGGACAAAACCAACTTTGGGATCGAAAAATGCATCCCTGTTGATGATTCTCTGTAAGTTCTAACGTAATATGTATAACATTAATTTCAAACTACTTAAAAAGTATAAAATTGTACAGTAAATTCATGTTACGTTATCCCTTGTTGTTAACGTCACGTTGATTCTAGGTAAGGTTGTTCGGCACGGAAATACAGCATAGTAAGATCTACATCCTTGAGATAGTAATGCATAAAAATATGATTGGATGAATGCACTTTTATTGGCTGCGTAAAAAATATAAAAAATTCTTCTTGTAGATGCAGTATAACTGGCACAAATCAATGAAAAAAGTTAAGAGAAGAATTCTTACAATTAATATAAACGTACATCCAACTGATACTTAGATCATTAAAATCTTTACTCGATTTAAGTGAAATTTGCTTATAAATATCAGCACAGCCATACCAGCCAGCATCTCCAATGACTGTCGATTTTCGCAAAAATGTTTTATTGCTGCTCATCTCTTTTGGGAATATTTCATAATCAGAAGTTATTATCTATTCATTTGAAAAAAAAAATCAATTTTATTTAAGAGAAAATAAAAAAAATAAATTTATACGAGCATTCAATACTAAATCTGTTTAACTCACACCCCGAACGAAATATGAGTTTGGATAATAAAACTGTACATTTCCATTGCTTGTGCAACTAATTTCCAAAACTTCTCCTTCATTTATCTCCAACTCGGTCACATTTGGATGGAGCTGGGGCTTATGTCCATTACAACCTTTGCAAATGAATACAATCTCTTTTGAAATTCAATATGATCAGTTTCTATTAAGATATCATAGAATATTGATGATGTCAGAAAAATATAATTACAAATACAGTAAATTGTAAAGAAATATGGATTATTTTGAGTGGAAATAGCAATCCACTTTCAGGCATAGTTTTTGTATCTTAAGTTACAATTATTTTTTCTCTGTATTCTTACAAATATATTAAATTGTAAAGAAATATGGATTCTTTTGAGTGAAAATAGCAATGCACTTTCAGGCATAGTTTTTGTATCCTAAGTTACAATTATTTTTTCTCTGTATTCTTCACAATATTGTAAACTGTTTGAAAATGATACACAGCTTTTTGAGCTCAAAAGAAATATATTTTTTTTAAAAGTGATGTTGATATTTTCAGCCTGACAATGATAAAAAAAATTAACTCTAAGAATTTTAATCTTTTGTTTTTCAAAAAGGAAATCACCTTGTAGAATTTACCTGAATTACTTATTTTTTCGAAGCGGTCGTCCAACCAAATTGAATATAAATATTTACTTTTAACAGCAGCACAGGTTATAGTAACGTTGTCACCATAATACGCCTCTTCTGGCCCTATTAGTCCATAAGGTGCATCATCGACTAAGTCTGGGGAAAAAGATAAAAGTTTCAAAACATAGCGAACTGAAAATATTTCTTAAAAACAAAATATAGTACAAAACATAAGCTTAAATCAGCACACCAGTAATTTGAATTCCATGTCCTTTCGAGTCACAAGCATATAAATGGCAGGCCTTGCAAGTGATGTCGCCAAATGCGACTAAATTTACTTTTAATTCTGAATAAAAGCTATTTTTACTCTGCTCAGCCTTAAATAGTTAGATAACTTTTAGATCACCATTGCATTTTGTGTTTATAAATATAAATGTAACTAAAAATGTTATACTTGTTTATAAAAGCAAAAAATACCTTCAACTCCACTGTTTTACAATTATGCGTAGAATTATAATCTGTACACATTTTGTAGAACCAAGTTATATTTGGTTCAGGATGGCCAGTAGCTTGGCAAGCGAATGTTGCGCTTTGGTTTAAAGTGTAAAAAGTTTTGAGTTCTTCTTCGATTAATATAACATGTGGCTTCTCTGCGAATGTACAATAATTTGTGTTTTGTATAAAGAAAAGGGCTTAGGGTTTCCGCATAAAATGATTTGACATTATGTTCTATATCAAAATTACCGTAAACTGTAAGAGAAAAATTCAANCGCGCTGTGCTGCTTGCTCCTGTTTTAGGAGTCTGTCTACAATGTATCGATGGTTTGTTGCGCTGCGTTACGCTCCTACACGACGTATTGTTTTATAAGCTTAAGGCACATTATAATTTAGTAAAAGCTAACCTATTCTTTTGTTTACAACATCTTAATTGGGTTTTACTTATTACTGTTCATAATTAAAAAATTAATCATGAGTTTCGAAGAAAACGTGAAGAAATATTTTGAAAAAAACTGTTCTCAAGCTGAAATAAAAGCTTTGCTTGAAAAAGACTTTGAAGTTACTGTGCCATTAATAAAAGTGAAGAGAACTTTGGAGAAGTTGGAATTGAAGAGGAGAAACATAACAGAAAGTAATTTGTGTGATATTTGTGTGGCTGTAGTTGAGGAATTAAATTCCTCAGGCTACAATGTAGGGTACAGGGCACTGTGGCAAAAATTAAAAAAAAAATACAATCTGAACGTCAAATGGGAGACAGTTTATCAGATACTGAAAATAGCAGATCCAGAAGGAATCAAAGAAAGGTTTGGTAATAAATTGCATCGTAGAGAGTACCTAAATCCAGGGCCAAATCACTTGTGGCACCTGGATGGGTACGATAAATTGAAGCAGTTTGGTTTTCCTATCCATGGATGTATTGATGGATACTCCAGAATGCTACTGTGGCTTGAAGTTTCCAACACAAACAACGACCCACAAGTAACAGCTTATTATTATTTGTCAACAGTGGAGAGAATTGGTTTTTTACCATCAATGATCCGGTCTGATAAAGGAACTGAAAATGTTCTTATTGAATCTCTTCAAATTTCTCTACGAAGTGCACATAGTGATAAACTAGCTGGGAAAAACAGTTACATCAAAGGTACAAGTACTAGGAATCAGAGGATTGAATCTTATTGGGAGAAAATGCGTCAAAATTTTGCAGATTACTACATACAATTTTTCAAAGGCATGCAAGCAATAAATTTATTTGATGGTTCAAAACTTCACATTCAATGTTTACAGTATTGTTTTGGANCAATATTCGGTATATAATACTGTAATTTGGAAATGGCATAAGTATTCGTATAATTGATTACTGACTATTTTAATGATTTCTATGGAATAAATAATTTAAATTTTATTAGTAATTTTCGATTCTTAGAACAAAAGGTGAATCGGTCTTCCAGCAGATTCAAAGGGGCATTATCGTTGTACCATACAATATTCGGTACATAATACTGTTATTTGGAAATGGCATGAGTATTCGTATAATTGATTACTGACAATTTTAATGATTTCTATGTAATAAATAATAAAATTTTCTGCTTATTGCGAAATAAATCTTTTTAAAGCGACATTTTGGTAAGTTCAAATTTTATTGAACAAAATAAACTTGTTAACTAACATGTGTAACATAATGATGTTAACAGACACAAA